ACAGAGAAATTCAATTTACCTCATCCAAAAAGTTGGTTAAATCGTACACTTTGTCCTTGATCACGATCCAGCATGAAGATATGTCGGCATGATATGAGACTTCGTCCAGAGAAAAAACTCTGGGTTTTGTTGGGGCTATTTTCATCCTCTTCTGGGATAAGGTCTCCATATATTATGGCAAAGTTTTAATGAGGATGGCTTCCTGTAAAGAACAGAAAAAAAAGATTAATATACACTACATGCAAGTGAAAATAAACTACATGTAAAAATGTTATATATAAGTTGTTCTGTGTGATCATTCAAACCTTGTAATTTTCAGCGGTGTATAAAATTATTCTTGGTTTTGTTTCTGAGAACGACATAGCCTTTTAAAATATTCCCTCGGTGCTAATACCATCATAAAGGAATATTGAAATATTGCAGAGGTGAACACGCATATGGATCCACGTCAATACGCAACAGTGCTCGGTTAACTGATCAGAAGAAATCGGATAAACATACTATTTAATACATTGATCGCGCCTTAACAGTTTTGGTTCCCTTCGAAGTCTTTTTATGTAAGAATTAACATAACTGACCCCACATGTATACTTGGTACGTAGTTCAATGTTTCTTTTTAACCTATTCTTCTAAAGTACACTTTGCAATTATCTTCTCCCCCCAAAAAAACAAAGAATAAAATTTCTTCCGCTTCAAACTTGAAATACGTTTCAGTGAACTATACCTGGCAACCGTGAGGTTTTCCTTTCTTCAAGCGAACCTGCGCTCTCGACCTTACTCAGGATCAGTCGGCGTTTTCAATTTTAACAACGTAATTAATCAAACTTCTATCCATTTGCCGCCGAAAAAGTTTCCTCAAAATAATTATAGATACCCCAAAATATTTTTGTGAATTCCACGCTGATAAATTTGTTTTGAAAATGTGGGTGACTAAAATAAGAAGAAACAATGATATCTATAAATAATTAAACCCTGAACAGAACACTAATTGAAACCGTTATTGGACAAACAGAGGAATTTAGGACCCTTCATGTGATTGGTTTATTACAATTACCACACTTGTCGGTCTTAAATTCTCCGTCAACACATTTCACAACAGCCCTTCGATCGATCCGGATTTCATTGCGCCAACAATTAGGCCACTGCATATCACACATTACAATAGATATTATCCTTTCTTGGTCCCACGCATACTATTCACTGAGTAATCAATTTTTCATAAGAATGTGAAACGTAACGTGGTGCAAAAAATAACTTGCCCCAACATTGGTATATGACGGTGAGAATTGAAATAAGCTGCTGTAAAAGCAAACTATGCTCCCTTATAAAAGAAATAATGGTGTAATACTACTGGTGTCCTTTGCATGATTAAACGCAAAAGTAAATAATCTAAACGGCAAGTCTTCGTGCTGATCCGGTTGAAACTTTGTTAAGACTGCAAAATAGCCAGTTGAGGACCGGTCCTTTTCTCTCAGGGTCCGAAAAGTGTTTATCTGTGAACGGGAACGCAAAGGTGCATTAAATTTGCTGGTACCTGGTGCAACCGCCTGTACATCTGGGTGTAAAAATGAGGGATAATGCATAAGAGAAATAATTTTTACTCACTGTCTGCATGGCAGAGGCGTTAATTTGTACGGACTACTGAGCCGATAAGCCAATACGCGTGGTAATTTGCATGTTTAAAAAAGATGTACATAACCGTACATCTAGACAGACGCATGTTTTGGTGCGTATTCATTTGAAATTGCGACGACAAAAAGAGGTTTAATTTTACCTTCAGTGCCAGAGGCACTGAGCGATGTTTTCAATAACCTTGTTTTTTGTGACGCCTGTGGTGAGAAATTGAACCAATTCAACTGCATCGTCATCGCGTGATGCATTCATCTGAACTTCAGTCCATTGCTTAATTATCGTCGTCTTCTGGTACCTGTGATACCGTTTACAGACAAATTTATAATGAGCCTGTGCATATAAATGGACGTTCTCAAAATTGTAATTAATATTATGTTTGTTTTTTGCTTCTGATTAAATTGAACTTGAACGATTTACAATAACAGAATTCATCGCTTATTCGCGTAAATTCTTTTGCCGTTTCATTACTTTTACTCAACTTGAAGAACCAGCACGCAGAATTACGAAAGCAGAATGTTTTGCATAACTGAACTTAACACGTAGTTTTCAGTAGGTCGTCGGCCCGGCGTTTAACTTACCACACCAGAAATTTGCCACACAGTTCAGTTTTAAGTTGTTCAAACTTGTACATCGAAACTAAAAAGCTCTTCAAGGAAACTTTCAACAATATGTAAATTACTAAGGAAGATGTCTAAAATGCAATCGAGTTTTCAGTCTCTGAACAAAACCGGACACCACGTTTCCTTCAAACCTGACTGAGTTGCCAGAGTTGCGAAACACCACTGAATAATTCGATGTCTTTCTAGTTCTTTGAAGGAAAACAAGAAACCAATAGGCCAATCGAAATTTTGACAGGGCAAACAACAGGGATACTTATGAAAGACCGTCAGTAATGCTCGCTGTACGATGATATTTAATACAAACTACAAACGCTAATGTAGACTCGATCAACATTACGTAATTAGAAATCAAGGATCGAAGAATAAACTCTGGAACCTGACAACTTAGTCAAATGTTCAGCCTAAGGACAATGTTAGTTTCCGATCATAGTTTCAGTTTGTGCTGCCAATCTTTGACAAACTCCTGGTAAAAACTCACGTGTTACACTCAGCCAACTAACCTTTCTTGAAGATTTCAAGCGCCTGTTAAGATGTGTTTGTTACTAATAGTGTTGATTCCGAACCATTCCAAAATGATCGCTTCATTGGTTTTCCAAGTCACCGCTTCTCGAACTGCCAACCCAAATTACGCTACAATAATTTAAACTATCTACTTGAATATAAACAACAGCACAGATTGTCCTAAAGCGTTCATACATTATTAATATTCAGGCCATCGCAAGCGGTATTGTTAAGCCGAAGGGCGTGATGAGGGGTGTGTCAAAAACTGTGAGCTGATTCGTCAGTATATTGGTCACGAAATCTTTCGTCACGGCATTTTCTAGAATAACTTCTCCAAGTACTAGCTTGTACTACATTGGCAGGGCTCGCGGTGCTGTTTATTGTTTTAATATTTCAATATGACAGCTTAGTTTCTTCCGATGCACAAATGATAAAAAGCGCGCCACTTGCAGATATCGTTTTCAATCTTGGTGAAGGCCAGAGTTGTACAGAGCTGTACTCCGTCGCGCCCGGAAGGGGTATATGTATAGAAATGAGTCGCTCTGATGTGAGATCCCGTCCACACGCATCCGGATACAGTCGAATCTCCGGCTTCGACCACCTCTCATAAGCGACCACCTCTCCTCAGCGACCAGTTTTCCAAAATTAGCAGCGTGATGCGTGATTGAGACCTAATTAGCCGCGTGACGCAGGACAGGAAATCATAACGTGATCACAGTGAGTGATTTGCTATTTTACAAGCACGTCATGCGTGCTTTACCAATTAGATTTCCGTGATAAGTGAACGTCCTATGAGCTAGAAGGATAGGATTCATTCAAAGTAAATAGTAAATGGAGTCTTAAAAAAGATCATCAAATCGTGGCAGATGTGACACCATTTTCTGGTCTTTTTCATCCTTTTCTTGACCTCTGATATCTTTGATCTTCGTAGACCTTCATGGTACTATAGCTCCAAACAACTGTAATACGAATTATAGGAGTGAGTCAATTGAAAATAGTTAAACTTTGCAAAAGGACTATGAGCTTCAGTGTTATTTTTGTCCATTTTGTCGACCGATCATTTTTGACAGTACATCAGACAAAGAGAATATGGCACACCATATCCGAATCCGGCTATCGTATAAAAGGCTCTGAACGAATTTCGTCCAAAAGGGCTGTTCAAAACGATAACACACGTTAGAGTTTGCTGTCATTTTATACCGCTGGAGAAGACAGTTGTGTAAGCAACGAGAGATTACACAAGGAAAACGTTTGTGTGCCGCTTAATGAAGGTCGTCTAACTGAATTCGAAAACCACGTTATATCCTTTACAGACACAAAAACGTTGCCGCACAGGATTTGCAGGTGTAACGCTTTGACACAAATATTGCCTGTATATTAGAGCATGGCAAAGGTGGCGTAGACGTCTTCTCAATTAGTATGCAAGATCTCTGTCAACTTAGCCCGGTGAATAGGCTCTCGATTGTGTTATAGGGGAAGGAAAAAAACAGGCGGGAAGAGATAGCCGAGAGTAATCTGGAGCGAGAAAAATCCCGCCCCGCCAGGCTCGCTTCGCTCGTCCTATTTTATTTTTTTGGCGCTCGTCAGGAGCCTGTTCACTTAAAGACGGTGAAAACTCCTCCAGATTATCCAGGAGCCTCATGGATACAGACCGAATCTCCCGGTCTCCCGTACGAATTACCACTTTTATTTTCGGGGAAAATTATTAGAATAAGTAATATCACGATCAATGGTGTCAAAAGCTTTAGCTAAGTCGAGAAAAACAACGGATGTGACAAGGCCATTATCGATGTTAAAGTACCATTGATTGGTAGCGTCAAGCAAAGCTGTGGCGGTTGAATGAAACGACCAAAAGCCTGATTGATATCTGTTTAGCAATTTGTTATCCGAAAGGTATAAACAGAGTTGGTTGTAAACAAGCCTTTCCATAATTTTTAGAAATAGGAGATAGAATGGAAATTGGACGATAATTGTTAGGATTTGTTTTACTGTTGCCCTTGTGGCGTGGAAAAACCTTCGCAATTTTGCAATTGTTAAAAAGTATACAAAGAGGCTGGGCAATAATATCCGCTGCGACCTTAGGATAGAATAGAATAGAAAGCCTTTATTTTAACACGGTATGTTTTAAAGCTAAAAGTTTGTGTGTCGTGTATAAAATAAGAGAAAGACCTAATAGCAATGTAATAATAAGAAAAATTTTAAAAACTACTGCTCGGACCTTGAGTAATTTGTTTGGAATGCGATCGAGACCGGCAGATTTATCTAATCGTCGAGTCGCCCAAAATGATGGTTGATTTAGCTTCTACTCGTCGCTCGCCAACAGATAACCAACCCGTGTTATCATCACGATAAGGAGGTGACGATTTATCGACCCGAGGTGACGCGGTGTTTGTGGGTGTTGGCCGAGTTTGGTCATCATTTAACAGTTTTAAGTTGTAACAAGGCTGTTCCGTTCATTTTCTAGGGTTTTTATTGTGTTAGATGCCCTTGTATTCGGTACATTCGTTCATATTAGAGCGGATCTTTTTTCTTGACCTCATTTTGAAGAGCAATATTTTCTTTGACTAGGTGACGAACTGTTGGTAATTTTCATATTTACCTTCGAGTGAACAAGATGCTGAGGTTCATTACGTTGTTGCTCGACTTTCTGTAGATTGCTCTTAACCATAGAACAACCCTCGCATGTGGAAGGGCTTGGCAAAGTCTGGGTGACAGACTGCAGGATCTGCGAAGAGTTGAAGGAGCCATCCACCGCAGTTGATTCGTTTGAGGCCGCGAGCGGACATTACTGAGTGTCACAATTCGGTTGAAGAGCAAGCAGATTTTCCTTCGATGCAAAGAGGTTGCCTATGTTTTTCTCGCAAGATAGTGTAACCAGACCCTTGAGTTTGGACGGTATGAGTTGAAGAATACCACTTCACGTACTGCAATGTGCACATGATATCAGCCACCTTGAATGAAAAGTTAACATTTTATCGACTGGATCTTCTGAGATTTCGCCATCTTCCGTAAACTCGAGTAAAAATCTTTAAAATTTTTAAAATCCCCATACCACTTGAATTGATCCTTCGTGTTCAAGTAGTTGAGTCGACTAGCCAAAGATGCAATTGATGATGAATTCTCGTTTGCAAGAGCCGTTTTTAACGAATTGAAAACCGACTAAAATACAAAATAGCGGCGCGCGATAAAATACTTGTGAACTCTCTGAGAGTAGACAAGGGAAAAGCACCTGATCTCCAAAGATTACAGAAGAAATAAGTTATAACCGTCACTAGAGCACATCATCCGATATCCATTTTCTGTAATCTTAATTGTTCTAAATCTAAGTTAAACGAATATTGCATGTTACATGTAGCGACCGTCGCGGAAGTAGTATGTATCAGGTAAATAGCTAACCTGCGATCATACCCTCCCTCCCTTATATTCAAACGTGACCTAGCTAAAGTTTTTGACACCATTGATCATAATATTAATCATTCCAATAATTTTCCCTAAAAATAAAAGTGGTAACTCGTACGGGAGACCGGGAGAGTTTTCACCGTCTGTAAGTGAACCGACGAGCGCGAAAGAAATAAAATAGGGCGAGAGATAGATGGCAGAGAGAACCTTAAACGAACCTCGTCAATCAAGGTTTAACAGTGGCTACGGTAACTCAAAATACACAAGGTGAACGCGTATTTTATTATATAGCTGTACGTATAGCATAAATTACAAAGTCGTTGCAGAACATAAGCGTGCATGTAAAGAATGTTTGGCAAATTAGCATATTATACCCTGAAATTAAGATATATATCCACCATTTTGAATAATCAAATCTAGCCGGTGTCAGAAACTCGTTTGTCCGGTTTGGCTATGACGTCAGTGCTTT